ACACATGAAGTGCATTAAACCATACATTATGTCAATGTTTCCCAAACTGGGGTTTGTGAAGGAACTGCAGGGAGTTTGTGAGTTTAATAAAAAGCTAATAATTAGTTAAGTCATTAAAATGTAAAATTACAATAAATAATTTTAAAATAACATAAATCAAAAGAAAGCATTATTTATAAATAAACAATTTAACAAAAAAATAAATAAATATTGTATTTGTTTACCTGCATGTCATGTGACCATCAGTCACAAAACCGTGAACATGCAAATATGATACTTTATTATTAAAATATTTATTTTAAAATCTCAGGGGGTACATTAAGTAAATATATTAGGTGAAAGAGGTTCCAGGTACCCTACTGTTAGAGTTTGTTGTGGGTACATAGACAGACTTAGAAGGCGGAGATTGTTCTCGCCCACCCAGATTCTCTTCCTCCTCTCCAGATGGTATACTGCCACTGTTGTACTTCCGTGTCTTGGCGGTAATGTGTGGAACAGATTCAATAAACTACCCCAAGCTGAATGTATGTTTCCTCCATGTGGCCTTTTTCCTCAATAAAAGCACATTTATCTGGTTTCCTGTTGTCTGCCTGTTTCGTCCCAAATTCTCATAGCAGAGGTAGTTGTCAAGACAACAGGGCGGACAGTCATCCATGATGGATGTCCTTTCGCATGGGAGTTCAGGTCCATTTTGATTAAGAATTGAATTTATTAGGCCCACATGTATGAGCACGCCATGGAGACAAGCCAGCTAAATGTTTCTCGTTAACTTCATCACCACAGCCATATGCATGGTTGTCTTCAACACTGATTTTTAGATTCTCTGAGATAGCTGTATTAGGAAAATGCATTTTTAATATTTTGAAAAATCCTGATTTTCTTTTTTATTTTATTTCATATAAGGTTCTGAAATAAAGAACTTTATTTTATAGCTTTTTTTATATAGTATAGTGTGGATACACCTGCATCAAACATTTGGAAAACTTTTGGAAAAAATGTGAAGTAATTAAAAAAAAGTATTTCTTATAAAATATAAAATTATTTCTAATTATTAATTGCTATGCATAATTTATAGGGTTAACTTAAAATAAACTTTCTTAGTTACCCTTAGTTAACATGAACTAACAATGAAAAATTATTCTAAAGCATTAATTAATCATAGTTAATGTTAATTTCAACATGCATTAATTCCTTTAATCCAAAGTTGTATCTGTTCATATTATTTAATGAACCTGAGCTGACATGAACTAATAATGAGCATGTGTATTTTAATTAACTAACATGAGCAAAGATTCATAAATACTGTAACAAATGCATTGCTCATTGTTAGTTAATGCATTAACTAAGGTCAACTAAGGAAGGTTATTGTAAAGTGTTACCATATATTGCATAGAATTTATTTTAAAAATATTTTGACGTTATGACTGAACAGAGAAAGACCACAGGAAACTTTGATCCGAAAGGGTCTTGAGATGTTCTATCAAACATCATGATTATAACATCGTTTATTTCATTTTTCCATTTATTTGATTCCATTGAACAGTGGCACCTTTTGTTTCTCATTACTGTCCTCTTCTCTTGTCATGATGACAAAGTGGGTAGCAGTGTCTATTTTTTTGAAAGGCACATTTCACGTTTCTATTTATCAGAGAGAATGTCAAAACCTTTACTCTGCCTCTCCTGCTCATCATGTGTTCGCTGTTTTTAGCATACACTTGCTGCTTATCAAATATGTTCATACGTGCTTGAATAAACACAAGCACCCTCTCATTTCATAATGCATGTAAACAGAGCAAACCCTTCAGCTTGTGTCTCTCCACAATTACAGATATTTATTTTTCTTCAGAGTCTCCATTAAGGGTAAAAATACATTTCAGGTATAAAAAATGCTCGTATAGTATGTTAAATTTTCTCATTTTCTTTTTTCTTCTGTGCTTCTCTAATGCAGTTCATTGATTTATGAAACAAGATACAGGTGATTTCACATTATGGTTGTACATTAAAGGGCAGAATGCAGTTTTTCATAAATCTTTTAAATGGTTGCTGGATTACATTCAGAGAAATAGAGGTAGACCCATCTCAGGCTGTCCATAGCAATGCTTGACTCGAGCTGAATCCACCAAAGGAATCTGTATTCAGTTACTGAGAGCACTTTATGTTTTGTAAGACATGTCAGACAGAAACGATGTTGCGTTTCACCTTTTAAAACATTTTTAAAGCATTATTGGAGTCAACTACAAAAGCAACTAGGATCAACCTGAGGGGAAAACGCACCTATCAAACACAGGTTTGCCTTTAGTGACCGACCTTTCAATGTCACCACTTCTCTGTAAACCTGTAGCAGAATGTAGTGGGATCCGCAGCAGCCGCATCCTTGCATGCTTACAAGACAGCCAGATGGTCAGAGTGATTGTTGTGCTCAAAGTACAATGCTGGAGCATTCCATGGATGGTTTTTAAGTGGTGTCACTTAAAAATGCCTTGGGTTGTCAAAATCAGCATTTTGCATTTTTCTCAGACACACTTGTTTGCTGAGACAAAAATCATAGTCATCACATTTCTGATTATGGTGGATACATTTTTGGAAGGTTATATATATAGTTATATAAATGTATGTGTGTGTATATATATATATATATATATATATATATAAATGTATATGAAAAGAAATAAATCAAAAATTATATTTTTGATAGATATAAAATCTAATATATATATATATGTGTGTGTGTGTGTGTGTGTGTGTATATGTGATCTGAAACATTAAAGTGTGACAAACATGCAAAAAAATAAGAAATCAGGAAGGGGGCCAACAATTTTTCACACCACTGTATATATATACATTAGTGGTGTCAAAATTAGCGCGTTAACACAGGCGATAATTAACGCAGGGGCGGGGCTAGGGTTGGCCACCCAACTCACAACTGCTGCTTCGGTCACTTTTTCTCTTGACAAGAAGTGCATTTATTCAGTCGCAGAATGACTGAGAACGGGAGATGTTTCAGACGCGTGCTACACTTCACTTCAGCGCCATGCGCGAGTCAAACGAGCGCGGAAACTGTACTGTGCTCGCAGCGCGTGCTCTTCAATTGCACACTCAAAGGTGCCGGCGCGCGCTGTAGCCTGTATCCTTTCATATCAAAGCACAAAAGAAATGACGTGCATGCAATGTCGTGGTCAGTTAAGTCATGAAGTTACCAAAAAGGCGATTAAAGCTGCCTTAAAACTGTGCATG